CCCCAAGGCGCTCTCTCTCTCTCTCTCTCTCTCTCTCTCCCTCTCTGCTGGCCTGGCTGCCTGGAGAACTTGTTAGCCTGCATTGATTTCTTTGAGACACCACTGCATTGGATCGCTTTGCTCTGCATTTGAAAAGGGGTGTTTTTCTTGAGGAGGCTGGACGTTGGCCCTGACTTGAAATTACAGAGTTGGAAACCATTCAGGATCCATAACTATCATGAGTTTCCTTCACAGCAGATGAGATTCTAACGATGGCCTTAGCTTACAGAGGTAGAGAAAACTCAGTATTTCACCCATGTGGTGGGAACGGAGAAGCAAAATAACACATTTCTGTGTACTAATCAGTCAGCAGACCAGCGTTGACTGGGCTCTTCTCATGTGCCAATCATGTGTGAGGCTGTGCCTGTGGATGGAATAATGAAGTCAACAACTGCTGTGAGGGAAACGGGGTAGAAATCACGCATGTAAGTTCCAGGGCTTCCTCAGGACAGCGGCATGGGACCAATGGGAAGCCTGGACCAGTGGGTACAGATTGCATTTTACAACTCAAAGTATCTCATTAAAAAAACCTAATAACATGTGTGAGAGGTATTATTGTCTTGATTTTACAGATGAAAACTAAGACTCAGAGAATTAAACCCGATTTGGACCTGAATTCAAAACCAGTTCTTGGCCATTACGAAGACATTGCTTTTATGTCGTCGTACTGCCTGGTTTGTGCCTGCGAATGCCAAAAAGATGCGCGTAGCTGAACTTTTGCAGTTGGGAGAAAGGACGTCTTCAAGTAACCAGACTTCCTTCGGTTCTGCCGCAGCTGCGGGTTTTACTAGATGGAGATCCTGCAGTGCGGTCACGTCCAGCAGATGTCAGCATTCACCATTCTTTGGCTCTCCCGGGTCTTGCTTTTACAAAGTGTTAGGACATGGAGCCTGTCTTGCGCTTGGGTCCCCAGAATGGCTATTGCATCTGGGCATGAGGTGCAGAGCTGTGTGCAAGAGGGTGCAGCTGAGCACGGCGTCTCGATTCAGTGAGAAGGCATTTGAAATGGTCATGAGCCCTCTGCTGCCCTGATTTTCTAAAATCCAAAGGCGTTCATTTTTTTTTCTCCTCCCTTTTGCCATTTCCTGTTTCTAAAACCCAAGTCATTTCTTCTTTTTAAAAGGTGTCTATTTATTTTGAGAGAGTGAGTGCATGCTGTGTGAGTTGGGGAGAGGGAGGGAGAGAGAATCCCAAGCAGGCAGTGTGGAGCCTGATGTGGGGCTCAATCCCATGACCTTGGGATCTTGACCTGAACTGAAATCAAGAGTCCAAGGCTTAACTGACTGAGCCCCGCAGGCGCCCGAAAACCAGCCCGTTTCCGATGGATGAGCCAAACAGTTATTACCTGGCCTTTGGCCAAGGCTGCGCAGAGAAAGAGGAGGCTCTTGAAGTTTCCAGAGGATGCCGGAATGCTACCGGTGCCAGGGGCAGCTGGGATGTGGACCAGGCTGGAGTGTGGCTTCTGACGAGGGGTCAGAAATAGCCCCAAACACCAAGGTTTCTCTTCTGCTCAGCTTCTCTGTGCCTCAGATCCCACCCCTGCAAGTTCATCCTGTGGCTCTAATCTTTTTTTTTCCGTTTATAGTTTATTGTCAAGTTGGTTTCCATAGACACTCAGTGCTCATCCCCACAAGTGCCCTCCCCCATGCCCATCACCCCCCTTGCCCTCCCATCAGTCCTCAGTTTGTTCTCAGTTTTTAAGCGTCTCTTATGGTTTGCCTCCCTCCCTCTCCTTAACTATCTTTTCCCCTTCCCCTCCCCCATGGTCCTCTGTTAAGTTTCTCCTGATCCACATCTGAGTGAAAACATGGTCCTTCTCTGCCTGACTTATTTCGCTCAGCATAACACCCTCGAGTTCCATCCATGTTGCTACAAATGGCCAGATTTCACTCTTTCTCATTGCCCGTGGCTCTAATCTTAACCTTACAGGTTTCATGAGAAGGAATGATCTCTTAAATGTATTTATATCGAAGTGCAAATGAATTTGAACTTTATGTTTTGTCTAATGGGAGAAACCAGGCCGTGCTGAGAAAATGAATTGCCTCTGGTGTGCCTGGAAATGTTCGAGAAGGGTCTAAGGGGGGGTGTGGAGAGCGAGGGTGGCAAACTTCTGTGATCTCCCTGTCTGGCCCAGGCTGATGGGCACGGTGCCTGGGAGGACTTCCTTTGCTTCCTGTCTCTCATACCCTCCGCGACTTCACCCTGACAATTCAAGTGTTGTAAAGAGTGCACCTAACATGATGACTGGTTCGCCAAAACCTCGGGGCCAACAAAAGATGGAAAATGTTGGCTTCCTGTTCCAAAATTGCAGCTCTGGGAGAGGGAAGCTCACCGACCTTAATGGCACCAGTAGCCTGTTAAAAATAGTCCATTTGCAGCTATTTTAAAAAAAAAGACAAACATAGAAAGAAGGAAGCTACAGCATGTGGCTTTTATTTGCTAATCATATGCGTAGTGTTCAATCCTGCAAACTTTCTCTGTAACAAAGGTCCCTCTACAATTCAGTGCATGTCCTCCTTGGGCGATGCTGCTGGTAGTAAAGCTCTCTCCTTGACCGAAAACTTAAAATAATATGCCCTTCAGAACATGTGACATTCTGGGCACATGGCCACAGATGAAAGTCTTAAATAAATGGGGCTCGGTCCGACTTGCAGAGGCAGAGAGAGCAGATTCATTACAGAATGGAGAAATGTGGTGTGAAATTGGTAATCTCAAATGCTTTGATCCTTTCTTTTTAGTAATGTATTATTCATTCCGTTTGGTCCTTTCTGCTCCACCATTCTTACATAACCTCGAGCAACCTTTAATGATGATTTATAGGTAAAATTATTCATATAGCAGCGTGTCTGGGTTACCAGACGCATTGGGCCTGCACTGGGTCAATCTGGCCTGACTCAAGGGAGCTCAGAGGGTCATGTGAACCTCACAGTCCGCCATGTCTGGTGGGGGGAAGGGTTTGGCTGGTGACTTTAGACTCCAGTTGATAAGGGGCCCACCCACAGATCTTTGCTCAGTAGGGGCTAAACGGAGGAGATGGGCAGATCTGTCTCTGAAATGTGGTTATAAAGCTTGTAAGTGATAGCTCTAAAAATGCCAGAAGTCAAAATCTCCATATTAGCACTGTTTCCGTCTAGTATCATGGTTATTTGGGGAGGCCGTACACCAATTCAGCATTGCAGTCCCTCAAATCATGTTGGTCAGCTCCTTTCAGATTGTCACAACCTACAGAATGGCCAGGGCTGACTGGTCCGGGGGGTAGACACTAGACCCCTACTGGGCCAGATTCCCGCTCCTGGGACTTGGCAGTGAGAACATGGAGATGCGATGATGGGAGTCTGCTTTCTGAAGCTGACCTGTCTTTCTAGCACTTTCCACAGACTCGTAGGCTCAGGTTCCTGAGCTGCCGGGCTCCTGCCTGCCTGCTGTTTCCTGCCTGCTGTTTCTTCTGGCCGTACACAGTCTGAAAAAGCAGTTGCCAAAATGCGTTGAGACTGTACCCATGATGCTTTAGTTCATCTGTGGTATTAGGTCAAATAAAAGTCCTTGGGATGGTCTATCAGTTGAAAATGAAGCCTTACAATTTTTAGTGCTGATTTTCAAAATTCTATAAGCGAAATATATTCGTATGAAGAATCATATTTGGTTACATAATTGATGTCAGATTCAATTAGTGACGGACTCTGCAATTTGGGTTTTATTACTGAATATTTGGAATCTATTTCAATAGTCACTGCATGGTTTAAACTGAATATTGTCTGTGAGCATATTTGCTTTTTTTTTTTTTTTTTAAATTCCTTTTCTCAGGGGTGCCTGGGTGGCTCAGTCGGTTGAACATCTGACTCTGGCTCAGGTCATGATCTCACGGTACGTGGCTTCGAGCCCCGTGTCGGCTCTGTGCTGACAGCTCAGGGCCTGGAGCCTGCTTTGGATTCTGTGTGTCCCTCTCTCTCTGCTCCTCCCCCACTCATGCTCTGTTTCTGTCTGTCTCAATAATAAATAAACATTAAAAAAAAAAATCCTTTTCTCAGTCATTTTAATTGCAGTAAGTATGAAACCATTTCACGAAAGTTTCTAAATAAAGAGCCAAAAGACACAAACCTAATCTGAATTGCTTTTACCCACAGGATAGAAATACATGGTTCAGACAGAACCTATAACAACAAATTTACTATCAAATGTTCCCAGTAAGTTCACCTACATCTCTACCTTACAAGAAGGCAAAACTGTAATGTAAATTTCCTAAGATATTCACAATGATATTATGGTTTTGTGAAGGCTGGCTTGGTTTTCTTTTAAGTTTATTTCTTTTTTAGTAGTCTCTACACCCCATGTGGGGCTTGAACTCACAACCCTGAGATCAGGAGTCACATGCTCTTCAACTGAGCCAGGCTTGATTTTGACGGGAAAGCCAGCAACATGATTTTATGAGATCTTTTGAATAGGGAAAGTGAGACTTAGATATATTTTTCCTAACCATTAATTTAAAATCTGAGCATTATGGGATTTATGGGTGAAAAAAAAGCCCAAACAGTATGAGGCCAACCAGGATAGTATGTGTTTTAGACTTCCAGACAGGATCTTTTGCCATTTTTACAGATTTTTCTGAAAGGTGAAGATCAGCTGTGCTGTGCAGTGAATGTCTGAAGTGTGTGCTAGTAACAGCTACCGCTGTGGTGTAAATACATACATGGAAAGTTGTAGTTATGTATTTATGAGTCTATTTGTTGCTTAATTTCAAAGGGTAAATTCCAAACTCCAGTCCTTGAGATTAAATCTTTTTATTCCGTTAATTTTCAAATAAAAAAAGACTCCGGGATTCTCATGTCTGTCACTCAGTATCAGCATTATGCCAATTCTAGTTCATCTCATACCCTGAACCCCCTTACTCCCCACTCCCCCTGTTCTTTTAAAGGAAGTTCAAGGTCACATGTCTTTCTTCTGAAAACATTTCCGCTTGCCTCTTAAGGATTTTTTTTTTTTAAACATGACCACAGTCTCTTCTGACTTCCTTTTACTGGACGTGAGGAGTAGGATCCGCCGTTTCTCATCTTCTCCCTTCCTCTCTTTGTGTCTGTGAATTTAATATGGAATTGTAAGCCTCCTCCCTCATTTGTTTCTCCTTTTTATAACAGACCCAAACTTATAAACGATAATCACATTGTGCAGTCACTTTTTACATCTAATACCTCCCCCTGAGTGACTGTTTTCAATAATCACCATCAATCCTTCCCAACCATGACTTCCTCATATTTGAATTCTTATTTTGCCTTCATTTGTCATTACTATGAACCATGTTTTCATGTGATTTATACAGGAAGTGTGGCTGTGTCATCATCCATATACTTGCATACCTTAAAATGCTTTTCTTGAGTGAGGGCATGAATGATACTTGCTTATGAATAATTCTTGGGACATCGGGTTTTTTTCTTCGAAGCTCTCTTGCTGTAAATCAGTTTGTCTTCAGTTATTTAGTGCTTCAGAGATTTATAAGGTGAGAAGAGAAACACTGTGTGGGGTTTTCCACTGAAGGGGTAACGTTCTGCCCTTGCATAATTAGGGCTCTGTGGCATGCTACAGTACCCTGTACATTTTTTTAAATTTTGTTTTTACATTTATTTATTTATTTTGAGAGACAGAGCACAAATGGGAGAGGGGCAGAGAGAGAGGGAGACACAGAATCCGAAGACAAGCTCCAGGCTCCAAGCTGTCAGCATAGAGCCCGACACAGGGCTCGAACTCACAAACTGCAGGATCATGACCCAAGCCAAAGTTGGATTCTCAACCAACTGAGCCACCCAGACGCCCCTACAGTACCCTGTAAGTTAAGAACTTTTCTGCTATGTGAAATAAGTGAGAGAAATAAAGCTACCATATGACTTCACTCATATCTGGAATTTAAGAAAAAAAAAACAAATATGCAAAGAAAAAGAGAGAGAGAGGTAAACCAAGAAACAGACTCTTAACTATAGAGAATAAACTAGGGTCACCAGAGGGAAGGTGGGGTGGGGATTAAGGAACGCACTGGTCATGAGGAGCACCGGGTGATGTCTGGAAGCGTTGAGTCACGATATTGTGCACCTGACGCTAATATTACACTGTATGTTAACTCACTGGAGTTGAAATAAAAACTTAGAAAGAAAAGAAGTGTTTGAGAATTCTGGGACACTGCTAAGGAATAGGACTTATCACTGTACGCTGAGCGTTGTGTGAATCAGAACCCCCAGAGAGCCACACAGAGGCATCAGTTTTAGAATCCCTGCCTTCATTTGTGTTTCGGAAACTCTAGGTTTTCATTCTCAAGAACAAAAGCAAACTTGGGCCACATTAGGAAACTACATGATGCCAGATATCCTTGAACCCATTCTCATTCAGAAAAACTTCAGAAGAGAAAAGAAATACCTTAAAATATGATTTCTCTTTGCTGAAACAAATCACTTCATAGCACCAGTGGAGATGTTGGCCTCTGAAAATATAATCCAATGGCAAAAACCTAATTTAAAAACATTTTTTAAATGTTTTTATTTATTTTTGAGAGAGAGAGAGACAGTGTGAGCAAGGGAGGGTCAGAGAGAAAGGGAGACGCTCAACTGACTGAGCCACCCGGGCGCTCCCAAAAAACTAATTTTTAATGTAAACCCCTCAAAGACAATGATTTAAATGTCTAAAACACGGCAAACATGACCAAACCTTGTATTGAAAGATTTTTATCTCAAACTTTGAAGAATAGGACTTGTGGATTTTTTACGTACAGTGTTATTTTCAGAGTAGAAAGATCTTTAGTTCCAGGGTGGGAAATGAACCTTTGGGTTTTAGGAAGTAAGCACTTGGCTTTTATTTTGATATTCCTGCTGGAGGGAAGAGTGGTATTTTCTCAGAAGCCTCCTTTAAGATAATTCATGAAAAGTAATGAATGGCTGATTCTTAACTTCAGAGGATTGACTTCTTAAAATCAATTGAGAAGCACAGATACATATTATACATTCTTTCATGTAGGTATGCATATGTATATATTTTTAAAAATATACATTTTTTTCTGAAGTATAAAGAATGCTTTACTCCTTTTGGTAGCCATCTGAGTGTTCTATTAAAAATAGAGTCGAGGGGCGCCTGGGTGGCTTAGTGGGTTAAGCATCCGACTTTCGCTTAGGTCATGATCTCGCCGTTCGTGGGTTCGAGCCCCGCATCGGGCTCTGTGCTGACTGCCAGCTCAGAGCCTGGAGCCTGTTTCAGAGTCTGTATCTCCCTCTCTCTCTGACCCTCCCCTGCTCACGCTGTCTCTCTCTCTCTCTCTCCTAGAAATAAATAAAAAATATTAAAAAAAAATAGAGTCGAGTGGGAGGTATGGTGGGCATGGTGAGGCCTCTCAGTACTTAGGTCATTTCTATGTTTCCCAGTCTCCTTTGCAATTACATTGGCCAGGTGCTCAGCTCTGATCAGGGTGAACATGAATGGAAGTGATGACATTTGCCTCCCCCACAGGGAGTTAAGCTTCCTTTCCCCACTCTTCTTTTCCTAAATATGCCTGTAGGGTGACTTTGGATCCACTACGTGGCATAGCCACCAAGATGGAACCAGTCACTGGGTAGAGTCTGACCTACCTCAAATTGGCATGACTGAAAAATATGCTTTTGTTGTAAGGCAGTGAGATTTAGGGGCCCTGTTTATTACTGCAGCATGAGCCGGCCTATCTGACTGATATAGAGGAGTCGTCTGAGTTGGGCTGTTTGCAGTAAAGATCTAATATTTGGTGTCTGGTGTTTTTGTCAGCCAAGAGGAAACATTTATTTGTTATTCATGAAAACATTTCTTAAATTTTATGAAAATCATATGAAGGATTTTTGCAGTTACTTTTCACCATTCACTTTGGAACTGATCACTGTTTCCTTTCTTACTTTGGAAGGCATGAGCTGGCAACCTAGATCTTCATGAAGGTAAGAGAGAATCCAAATGAGCTATACAAGCACAACTCTGGGACAATAACCATACCCTTTATGATAAGCTGAAATATTATTTGACTTCATTTTTGTTTTGCTTTTAATGTGACACAATTGTCCTGGGTTCTATGAGCTACAGACGGAATAATTGAGGAACTTTTTCCACCTTTGCAAAGACTATAACAGGCTTCCTTAATGTCCTCATCAAAGGAAGGCGATATACAGAGGGCTCACTGAAAGCCCTGAATCTGGAGTCTCGTTGGGCTGTCCTGCCTCTGAGTTAAAGACAGCCATGCTGCTGGTGATCATAGCATAATGTGTAGAACTGGGTTTTTTTTTAAATGTTTTATTTATTTCTGAGAGAGAGAGAGATAGTGTGAGCAGGGGAGGGTCAGAGAGAGGGAGACAGAATCTGAAGCAGGCTCCAGGCTCTGAGCTAGCTGTCAGCACAGAGCCTGACGTGGGGCTTGAACTCACGAACTGTGTGATCATGACGTGAGCCGAAGTCGGACGCTTAACCGACTGAGCCACCCAGGTGCCTATAGAATTGTTGAATCACAGGGTGCCTGGGTGGCTTAGTGCCACGGGGTGCTGATTGCCAGCTCAGAGCCTGGAGCCTGTTTCAGTCTGTGACTCCCTCTCTCTCTGACCCTCCCCTGCTCACGCTCTCTCTTTCTCTCTCTCTCTCTCTCCTAGAAATAAATAAAACATTAAAAAAAAAAAGAAAAAATAAGGAATTGTTGAATCACTATGTGGTACACCTGAAACTACTATAACATTGTATGTCAACTATACCTCAATAATAATACTAATAATACTAATACTAATACTTTGCTATTATTATTAGCAACCTCAGCTAGAAATCTGCCGTAATAGGTACTGGAGAATTGCCAATTAACATTTGCATGCGAACTATAGAAGATCTAATCACGACATACTTCCAAATGAACCTTTTTCTCAAGAGGTTTGTGAACATCTTAAGTGTTAAACTAATTACTACAGAATTCTTTTCAGAGGGCCTTCAAAAAAAACCCCCAATTTTATCCTTACTGAGCTTACTCTTTCTCACATGAAAGCAGGACAAAATAATTTTGTCTTCTGAGTACATTTATGTTAAGGTATTGGATACTAGAAACATAATTCCTTTTTAACTAGGATATTTTTTTTCTTCTCTTCTGCATCCTTTTCATCACACAAAGCAGCACTGTCTTTGTAGCTACACTTTGGGGCCTCGACATTTAATTTTGTCCTTTTGGTCTGTAACATCCCCAAACAAGTGCTTTGATCAGCTGCTCAAGGGATCACATGGCTGGAACAGGAGGGCACTTAGAAGCCTGTGCTCTTAGAGACGCATTGATGTTGGAACGATATGAAAAATAATTTCGTGGAGGGTTCCCTGGCTGGCTCGGTCTGGAAAGCATGTGACTCTTGATCTCCAGGTTAAAAAAATAATTTGGTGGAAGGGACTTTCTTGTCGAAGCTCGGGCCGTTTTTATTACTGAAGAGGGGCGCATACACATATCCACATATAAATCTGTATCGATAGGTGGATTTGACTTCTTGCCAGTGTGGCTTTATGCTTTCTCTCTTTCTCTTGTCTTTCAGTTAGGGAGTGATTAGCCCAGGGGACACTCGGCATTCCATTTGCACTCCTCATCCTGAGTGAAAGAAAGGAAGCAAAAATCCCAATGGAGAAAAATATTCTGAGGAAGACAGGTGCGTGATTATATGTGTGGGGGTATGAATTTATTTTGTAGCAAACTAGTGGCCCACGTAGGAGTACTTTAGGTTGAATGCACAAAGAAAACTCTATTAAGAAATCTGACTTCAGGCCCGTGAAATTATAGTTTACTTTGTAAATCACAGTCAGAAGACATTGAATTAGTAATGAAATCAGCACCAAAAAAAAAAAAAAAAGACAACAACCAAAAACCTGGGTTCAAATCACCATGGAGCTGACTTCACACAATGTAACCATCCAGTGTTTCTAAACTGGCATTCTCATCTCTAAAACAGGTCTAATGACCCCAGTGCTACCCACCCAGTGACATTGGTTAAGAATCCACATGAGCCGAGGGGCACTTGGGTGGCTCAGGCGGTTAAGCGTCCGACTTCAGCTCAGGTCATGATCTCATGGTTCATGGGTTCGAGCCCCGCATCGGGCTCTGTGCTGACAGCTCAGAGCCTGGAGCCTGCTTCGGATTCTGTGTCTCCTTCTCTCTCTGACCCTCCCCTGCTCACGCTGTCTCTCTCTCTCTCTCTCAGAAATAAATAAAACATTAAAAAAAAAAAATGATCCACATGAGCCGGAAGAGCCACAACGACACACGCAGGAAGTATGGTGCTGGTGTCCGCAGGCCACCTACCTTTGGAGGTTTGTTTTCTTTTAACTTTCTATTTTGAAATAATGATGGATTCATGGTTAAGTTCCAAGAGAGGATGTGCAGCAGTCCCAGGCGTCTGTCACTCAGCTTCCCCAAAGGAAAATGCGTGACTGTTGTACGATATCAAAATCGGGGAAACTGACTTTGTGCCATTCATAGAGCTTTTTCAGTTTTCCCATGTCTTCCCGAGCACTCGTGTGTGTGTGTGTGTGTGTGTGTGTGTGTACTCCTAAAAAGTCTTATCACACCTGGAGGTGTGTGTCACCACCACCGAAATCAAGATAAAGAACTGTCCCACCTCCCCAAAGTTCCCCCAATCGTTGGCAACCACGAATCTGTTCTCGAACTCTATAATTTTATTTCGAGAAAAGGAACAGTTCATTCCTTTTGCGTATCAACAGTTGATTCTTTTATTGTTGCTTCATTAGTATTCCGTAGCATGGACATACCACAGTCCTTCGTTAGACGTTTGAAGGACTTTTGGGATGTTTCTAGGTTTTGGCTCTTCTCCGTGAAGCTGCTGTGAGCGTTAGCATACAGATTTTGTGTAAATGAGTGTTTTCATTTCTCCCCGGGGTAAGTGGCCAATAGTGAAATAGGTGGGCCATGTGATTGTTGCATGTTTGGTTCGGAAAGAAACTGCCAGATGGTTTTCCAGACTGGCTGAGCCACTGTGGGTTCTTACCAGGAACACTTGGGTGATCTAGTTCTTCTACATCCTTGCCAGCACTTGGTTTTTTTTCCATTGTTTTCTCATTTTAGCCATTCTGATAGGGATGTAGTAATATTTTATTGTGTTTTTAGTTTGAGTTTTCCTTGTGGCTATGATGTTAACTATCTTTCCATGTGTTTATTTGCCATATGCATATACTCTTTGATAAAAGGCTGCTATTCTAGTTGGATTTTTTTGTTATTTTATTCCAGAGTTTTGAGAGTTCTTTATATAGTCTAAATACGAGGCCTTTGTCAGATACAGGATTCTCGAATATTTCCTCAAAGTCTGTGGGTTGTCTTTTTATCCTCTTAATAGGGGTTTTGGCAGAGCAAAGGTTTATTTTTGATATTTTGAGGTTCAACTTACTATTTTTTTCTTTAGGGACTGTATTCGGACGTCTAAGAACTCTTCTTAGCCTTAGGTCAGTCAAAGGTTTACAGAAACCTTTTTTTTCCAAGAAGTTTTATTTTACTTATGGTTGTACTTTTTAAAGTCCGTGATGCAGTTTGAGTTAATTTCTGTATAAGACGTGAGGCTTCAGTCTAAGATTTTAAATGTTTCCATCATCGGCCTCTAGACATCTAGACACATTCTGGCCCATGTCTGTCTCCCTGTCTACTTTTCTACCTTTCTAGACATTATTTCACTTTCCTACCTTACATTTCATCTCTTTCACTCTTTCATTAGGCCACTTTCAGTTGCTCATTTCATATTCCTCATATACCATCCTAGCTTCTTATTTCCTTAATGATCGAAAGATTGTACTTATATGGCTATCATCTCCCACTGACATAAGTCATGCCGAGAATATGATCATATGTTGATAATGTTTGTCTTTCCCAATATACTGTAAGCCTGTCGAGAGGAAGGAGCATATCCTTCTCAAAAGCTGGCCCAGGTGTTGCAGATAACATGGATACGGTTATATTTGTAGAATTAAAGTGAATCAAGTTCTACCGTCCTTATATATGCTAGAAGAGGGACACATTCACCTATATGAGTATCTGTATTCAGATGCAACAAAAACGATTTTTTTGAAGAGGCAGAACTGATTGGAGAGGCCAGTAGCATCCCAACGGGCTCACTCCTGACTGCTCATACCTTGGCTTTACAGGCTGACCTATTCCGAAGTCAGGATGGCAGCTAGGATTGCGTGGGGCTGGCGGTACATTTGATTTCAGGATGCCGTGGGAAGATGTACTGCTGATTCATAAATACTTCCCCAATTCATTTGTCTATGGTTCTGCTTAAAGCGTTCCCCCTAAAACACTTAGAACTTTGAAATTATATGTGTGTACACACACACATATATTACATATTATATGTATAGGTGCATAATATATATATGTGCACACACACAAAACATACGTATGTTGTTGTTGCTGTTTCTTCAGAAATCTCTTTTGCATTTAGGCTTAGACACCCATTAATGAAGGACTTCTGGCCAATATATCCATTTCATTTTAGTTTCCTAAAGACCTAGTACTCAGGTGATAACGAGGGCAGTGGGGTTTCACATATTATTTGTTCATGTCTGTCCGAAAGCTCAAAAGTGAAGGTCAGTACATTTCTACAGAAAAATCTTTTTAATGACTTAGTGAAAAACCCAACACTTGGGGTGCCTGGGTGGCTTAGTCGGTTAAGCATCTGACTTTGGTTCAGGTCATGATCTCATAGATTGTGGGTTCAAGCCCCAGGTCAGGCTCTGCAGTGACAGCTCAGAGCCTGGAGCCTGCCTCAGATTCTGTGTCTCCCTCGTTCTCTCTGCCTCTCCCCCACTTGTGTTTGTTTTTCTCTCTCTGTCTCAAAAATAAATAAATAAGCATTTATAAAAACAAACAAAAACACACAACACTTTCCTTCTTGTCCCAACTGGTTAAAATAACATGACTGGCACGAAATCATGATTATTCTCAGGGTATGAGCCATCACACAAGGAACGATAAATGTTTCGGTGTTAAGGTATTTGGGTAGGTTTGCTGCGGTATGATTGCAGCATTTAATTCTCAGCTCTGATTATTGGAAGCCAGTAGCACATGCTCATCCCCTCCACTCCAAATAACCTCTTGAGAGATGATTCTATTAATAGTGAAGAGGATTTACAGACTTAAACTACAAAGATACACACAACACTGAGCAGGTAAATTGTCACTCTTTGGGGAAATAATGTTACCCATTGATAGAATCCATGCTTAGAAAATTCACCTTAAGAAGCTATGTATTTCAGAAAAAGCATCCCTTAGCTTCTTAATGTTCTCATGTTCCTGTATTGTCTTATCAGTTTTTTCTCAAGCAATTTCGGTAGAACGTGGTCTGTAATTTTTCTTTCATTACTACACGGGATATAATTTTTATTTTGGAGAAAAACATCTAAGCCACAGTAGCCACAGAGCATCAATAGTCATAAAAATCTATGGCTAAGTTTTCTGCTTGTTTAAAACATCACCTCCTGAAACAAGCAAAAAAACAATAAAAAGTAAGCATTTGTCTTAGTAAAGGGAAGCTGTTTAGATCAGAGGAAACTGGACAGAGCAGGTAATTATTATCAAGGTTCTAGTTTTTCTCTGGGGGTCGGCTTGAAAACATTTTGACAAATTGTCAATAGGATAGAGTGAGCAGTAGCTCCCTGAGCCAAAGCTTGCTTATGGTTTCATATTCTTTCCAGATAAACCTTTTCCTTGTCAAGAAAGGATCATGGAAGGTGGAGATCATCTTACCTTGACGTCACGCACAGTCTTGGGGCTTCCTTCATTTTCCATGGCTTGGAGAATACTGGCATTATATCCCTCAGCCCGAGGCAGGGGCAGAAATTGCTTCCACAGACATGGCCTGGAGAAATGTTTCTGGAGGCATTCTGGCTTGTCTGGGGAAGGACTGGGCATGTTTTTACAGGGAAGGTCCAAATGAGTCCTGCAGCCTGCTTTTAACAACATTAGCCCAGGGTCCACTCTATTTCTCTTCAATTGGCCAATGCTGGACCATCTGTCAGTCAGCTAGGGACCTCTCTGGAAAGTTACACTATTTTAAGTAAAAGGATTATCTGTTTGGTGGATCAGCAGCTTATCCACCGTTCTTTAGTGTTCTATTCTGGGTAGAGCCTTCTATTTTGATTGTCTAGGTGTGTTATGACTGCCCCCTACTGGCAGAAATGTACTACTAATTCAAATTTAATCCTCAAATGGAAAGAAATGATTTAAGTGATCTATTTGCTTAGGATAGAATGATAAAATAGATTGCTTCGCAATATTCTGCATTAGTTGTGCGAGGCAGGGACTAGGGCCTGATAATCTTGGGCTGTGCAGTCGAGAGACGGGCGGTCCACCTAAGCCGTTTAGGTTTCTTCAAAGGTCATGTTAGCAGCAGTCAGAAATGTGGCTAGAAATGTATGCTCAACTCATACCCAAAATTAAGCCCAAGGATTATTACACTTCTTGATTGATGTCATGTAGGATGAAAGTGATTTTTCTTAGGAGGTAACTGGTCATCTAATGACTAAGCCAAGAGTTGGCTTTGCACATCATACTTCATCTTTGTAAAGTGCCTTATAAATAAAGATTATTCAACAGAGTGCAAAAGGGCAGGACATAATACCTTGAGAGGTGTCTCGTGCTCAACGAGCCCCTGGTGGGTCTGGGGTGCATGGAGATAAAGGCCCCAGGTGTGTATCCTGGAGATTATGAACTGAAGAAGTTTCCTTTAGGAGCACCTGGGTGGCTCAGTCGGTTGAGTGTCCAAATTCGGCTCAGGTCATGACCTGTGGTTTGTGAGTTCGAGCCCAGCATAAAGCTCGCTGCTGTCATGCAGAGCCTGCTTTGGATTCTTTGTCTTCCTCTCTCTCAGCCTCTCTCCTGTTCATGCTCTCTCTCTCTCTCAAAAATAAATTTTCAAAAAATAAAACAATAAAAGTTAGCTTAAAATGGGTAATGTATCTAAATAGACATTTCTCTAAAGAAGATATACAAATGGCCAATAAGCCCATGAAAAGATGCTCAACGTCATTAACCATTAGGGAAACGCAAGTCAAAAGTACAATGATTTTACATGTAATAGGTTGGTTTTAATCAAAAGACAGACAACGACAAATGTTAGTATGTGGAGAAAATAGTACTCTCATGCATTGCCCGTGGAAACATAAAATGTCACAACCACTTTGGAAAAACAGTTTGGCAGTTCCTCAAAGTGTTCAACATAGTTACCATAAGACCCAGCAGTTTCCTCCTACATGTCTACTGAAGCCAGAGAAGTGAAACGTGTGTTCACATGAAGGCTTGCATACAAATGTCTAGTAACTGGAATCCATATGCCCATCCACTGATAACCAAAGTGAAGTATATCCATACAACAGAAAAGGATGAAGTTCGGACACAGGCTGTAACATGGATAAACCTTAAAAACATGCCGAGAGAAGCCAGTCACAAAAGACCACATGGTGTGTGATTCCATTTATAAGAAAATGTCTGGAGTAGGCAAATCTAGAAAGTAGATTAGTGGTTGCCTAGGGCAGGGGGTTTGGGGAAACTTCAATGAATAAGAAGTTTCTTTTTTGGGGTGACGTAAATGTCGTAAAACTGATTTTGGTGATGGTTTCACAACCCAGTGAATACACTAAAAACCCTTAAATTGTATACGTTAAATGGGTGAATTATATGGTATGTGAATTCGATCTCAGTAATGCTGTTAAACCTTTTATAAAAAGAGAGGCAACTTCTTCAAGTGACCAAATGTTTCAGCGCGGCGCAGTGGGTACATACCTTGACAGTTCTGTTCCCTGGGGTCAGTTGAGTGAAGATATGGTCGAACTATATCACTGGTCTGAGGGTCCCGGGACCTGGTTCTGGACTCAGAATGAAAATGGTATACGTGGTATTAATAATCTCAACTTGACGTGGGCAGCCTTTGGGCTGGAAGATTATTTTTTCCTCCTACTCATTTTTCTTGGTGCATTTTGTGCCTGGGGAAACCTGCCCGGGATATTAGGTGGTGTGTCCAGGTAGTACTACAGTTGGGACTCCCCCCCCTCCCCACCGTGTCCACATCCTAGGGCCAGGGCACATCGTCCTGAGCCACTCTGCAAACCAAATCATTCATGTTTCTCTTTTTCCTCAGTGATGTCATTTCGGCCCACCAGCGTTTTCCTCTTGCTCTGACTTTTGTTTTTGCACACTCTATTTTTGGGGTCAGACCTTGGAGGAAACATTTCTTTCAAACATTTGTTAAGTTCTCCTTAGCATTTTCCCCATACTTGTAAAAATTCTCGTTTTTGGAAACTGCTTTCTGTTTCTATGAAAATTATTTCATCTTAAATCAGATTTGTCAACAATTTTATCTATGTCTGCTAATAAAACATTGCACGCTCAGTTCTTGAGAGATCCTGGTAAACATTATTGTTTCGTATTCAGGGGGTATGTGCGTCTAGGGGCACACAGCGGCATCGATTGGCCTTCCCTGGCATTCTGTGTAAAAAACCAAGTTTGCTGGAGATGGAAGTAGGAGGAATTTGCAGGAAGAACGAATTTTACCATCTGCCAGAGTTGAGTAAAGTACTTATTGGCAAATATGTATTTATTTTTCATTACCTCAAGAAACAGGACATCTCTTCAAGGGTCAGTGTAACTGACAGACCTGTGTGTGGGAGGCACAAACAGCTGAGAGAGTGCTGTGAAGAGAGAGGTTAGTGGATTCCTAATCTATACGACTCTGACTTGGGTGTTAGCTCCTCAGAGAGGCAGAAAGCTGGTGGGTTGACAGCCAGTTGAGTAAATGGTAATGAAGAGGAACAGACAAACTGTCAGCCTGGAGGAGGCCAGCCAACACTCTTCCCTCATGCCGATGAGACTGACGATACGCAGAGCCAGGGAGGGACATCCTTACAGGGTCCATCTCCAGTTTCAGACAGTGCTGGAAGACCAAGACCAGGGAACTTCCCAAGACTGCCCAGTTGGCCGTGGGTCACGGCATTTGCTCTACTGACAGGATAGGCAATCTTTGCCGGGTGTCGTGGATCCAAATGGTTACCTTGGTTTTCCTCCATTACTGGGTGTTGAAAGTGGTAGAAGAGCGGTAGTAGGGTCACTTAATCCTGGATTGATAGCCTTAAAGACCCACACGTGGGCCAGATGGAAAGGTGTGCAAATCACTAAGTGATCCTTGACTTTCAGCCAGATTCAATAACTGGAAAAGATTCTGGGTTGTTCCTTTAGAATGAGTAAATACATTTTATTTATCTCTCTCTCTCTCTGCCCATCATCTATCTACCTCAATTAGAGAGAGAAAGAAGCCTGGGCACACATGAGCAGGGGAGGGGCAGAAGAGATAGAGACAGAGAGAAGCTCAACCCTGAGATCAAGAGTGGCATGCTCTACCAATTGAGCCAGCCAGGCACCCCTTGTTGCACTTGCTCTTAACAATTATGTTCAGATTATTCCTGAAAAATTCCCAAGATATTAAACAGCTATCCACAATCTCAAGTTATTTCTCTTGTTGAAATATTTTGTAACAGCCATAATATGAACTTATTTGACTAGTAAACCTAAGTAGAACTAAAGTTCTATGTCTGCGTTGTATTTAATGTTGATAACTCTGAAGACATGAATGTTTTCATTAAGCCAACCCAACTTGGACTAGCTTTTGTATACCAAAGATGATCCCAGCTCATGTGAACTTGAAAAACATTTGGGTTAGTTTCTAGATTTCTGAGAGAATACTTAATTTATGTAAATACTTAATTTATTTTTCTTTAAGTCAATTAAATAGAGTGTCATTACAAACTAATTTTGCCAATACCATCTGGAGATAGAAAAATCATACATTTATAACACACACACATACACACGTGTATAAATGTGTGTGTGTGTAATATATTGAAGGATTTGTCCGAGTAGACATATATATGTGTGTGTGTCTGTGTGTGTGTATAAATATAAACATATAGCAGATACTTTTTAAATTTTAGCCATGAAACAAATCTAATAATACAAACTCACTAGTTTCTAAAAGAACTGTTGGATCCAAATTGTGTTTCTGGCAGTTGCAGTAAATCAAGATTACTTGCTCTGATGACTAAAGCTTCTTACTAGTATTTGTGATAGACTTATGATATTTTCATTTGCTTTTTGTAAAGAAATTTTTGAAGGGGCAATTTTTAACTCATTTAGTGTCTTAGGAGACTTCTGCATACCCATTATTGGAGGGAAGTATCCTTTTTCTCTAGGGCACCTTATAAACTGATAAGGTTATCTAGGTTAGAAGTTCCCCACTATGGCCACTGTAATTTAAGATTATCTTTGGTCAAGTTCATCCGCTCATTCAGACATACCTAGGTTCTGGGCTTATAATTTTTCTCCATATTCTCAGCCAGAGTCCTAGATGGAGGAGTCCCAGCTCTTTGGGCTTGGAGGAACGCATTTCATTTTGCTCTCTCTCTTTTTTTCATTAAAACAGAATTTTACCTGCGGGAGGCCTCACGACGGAGGCAGCTTTGGACCAAGTCTGGAAAAAGAAAGGCTCAGAGCAAGCTGGAGGGCTCACCGTGCAAAAGCGGCAGAGCTCAGATCAGACAGGAACTTTCTGTGCCCTCAAAGACAGAAGTAGTCACAGTGGACTCCGCAGGTACCTATGCCTGAGTGCTCCCTGAGGGCCATCAGGGTCTCCTTTGGATCTTGTTTCTGACACCAGAACTTTTAAAAGACAAACTGAGGCATGATGACATTTTGAAGGGTTTGTCCGAGTAGACATAGATTCCAATCAGGCAGTGCTGAACCGAACATGGCTTGGAGCACCCTGTGAACAGGAGTTGGGCGAAAGGCTTTTACAGAGCAGAAGCAGAGGCGAAGCAAGGGACTAGTCACGTGGCCACAGCTTAAGCAGTGGCCTCAGTTCAGGAAACCTAGTTGGCTGTTTTGATTCGTGGCTCTTAAATTTTGTCTTCTGGAAGGATGCAAGTGCCTCCATGGGAATTGATCTGGCTTAGGTTTTGGTTTGCTTACGTAGGCTCCCGACGCCTGATGGC